GGTCAAAGAGATCATCTGCAATCATTTGTCGCAACGCTGACAAAAGGACCTCTCATTTAGCCAAAGAAATTTGACGTGGCTCAGCCATAGCTACCAACTTAGCATCCTGATTCAGAAATACGCGGTGAACGGAGGAGGGAACACATACTATTGTTTGTCCAAATAGTTTCGGGTGCTGTATGGATAGGTCTGATAGGTTATGTGCCATGATACTCCTCCGAGATGGGGACGGCGTGACTCCCAGTGTAACCTTAGCTTTGCGCCTGAGGAGCGGACGGTAAGTTCCGTGGGTTGCGTACACAGTAACTGATGATTTCACGGCCCCAAGTTTCAAAACACTCACAACAAATCCTCGTATTTCTACCTAGGCCTTTGTATAACCGCCAAATCGATCGGCTGAATGGTGTATAGGCATGCCATGTAGAGGGCTGTCATAAAAACTATTCGGTACTTTAGATGAATCAACTTCCATGTCAACATGTGTTGTGTTCCATCGCGTGCAATGAATTTAACAGTATGAATAAGGTCACCGGTTCGAATCCGCGTAGGGGTGGGCGTCCTCGTGATATAGTCAGCCCACGCGCGACTGGTGCTGGTCGCGCGGCAGCGAAGCGCCGTTACGGCGTACAGCTGACACATCATTATTATTATTATAGGTAGTTTAGGCTCTGCACTAAGGAAACGATAGTGAGAAACAGTACCTTTGTTATCAATGGAAAATACATTTTCAGATGACTGCTGCTGCTGACTAGAAACGGAATCTGTGGGATGCAAATGAGAAATGCCTACTGATCGACAACAGCTGACAAAATGTCCACGCTTACCGCACTTTTTGCAGCACATCCTCAAGACAGGGCACTTGGCAAAATTGGCTTTATGCTGTAGGCTACCGCAGCGGAAGCATTTCCGTAAAAATTGGGATTTGGTTGGCGAGCGATGGAACTTGGCAACCTCCTGTATGTCATCGTGGATAGCGAAATATCGCAACAGGTCGGTCGTACATGTTTTGAGGCGAGGTAATTCCACAGCCTTATCCCAAATAAATTTGGTTGTCTTCGGAAACTAGGCATTCCCGAATTCGGTTATTTGTGATTCCACTAATCAACTGTTGCACTAACACTACGCCCACGATTATATTTTTCTGTATGGTTGGATACTCGAATGAGGCGATCAACAAAACTGTCTGGAGTTTCTGATACTTCCTGTTTAGGTCGGACAAATGTGAGGCGACCCATGAAGAGGTTTGTACGCTGGCCCCATGGCTTGTTCAGCACATCAAGTGCTTTGGTTAAGGTATCTTGAGAATGGAGCTCCAAAGCGACAAATTGACGTCATCCCTCATCACCGAGTAGGTGTCTGAGAAGATTTAGTTTCTGGCCTTCTAGGTAGTTAAAAGCCACAGGTAGTAGATCAAGACAGTCTGTAAACGATGTTTTCAACTGGGCCCATGCACTTTCGGTAGGACGTAAGATCGGGTCAGATCAATAAACAGTAGGAGGATGTAACCATAGCATAGGTTCGTAAGCCGCGACGCCAGTGTTGTGTACGAAGGGCCACATGTGTGTCTGGGGTTGTGTGTACGTGCCGTCACGCAAGTTGGACACATACACAACATGCCGATTTACATCCCCACTTTGATTGCGCTTGATGTCAATGTTGACAAGGTGCCTACCTGTATATACTCTCAACCCCGTTTATACTGGCTCAAAAAGTGAGTTGGTATTTGCTGGAGAGGATTGGATACCCTGTCATTTTCATGTTGCTACGCTCAAAGAGCGGTTTTATGCTTCCGTTTTGGTACAGGCTACGGTTCAGCCACCGCCTTGCGTAAGCCTTTGACGCTTGATTTCCCAATTAGGCATGAATGCTTCTGCTCTGTTTATTGAAGGAGTGTGGGCAAGCTCTGTTGAGAAAACGTGGCTCCCATCTACATGTGTCCCGGTCTTTTTCCTACTGGCTTACACTGGATATGGGGTGTGTGGTTGGAGCTGTGGATGGTACAGCTCAAGCTATTTATAATACCTGAGTAGGCGTAGGCGTCCTGTTACTGTCCCCATGGAGGTCGCAACAACAGGCAACTCTTGAACCGGATGCCACCAATCGTTTTGGTGTTGAGGTTTGCTACAGTCATATTCAATCAGATATCCACCGCAAATTTGTCAAAGCGCCGAAAAGTTCATAGTAAGAGAACAGTTTCTATCGTGTTTCATCTTTGATTCTAAATTGATTTGTTCTAATGGCTTGACTAATAGGAATCAGCAACTTTACCCATTGTGATTTAGGTGACGATGATTGATCCCTGTGCTTAATTTCTCTATGAAGATTAGTAAAAACTAGTCTATTGACTTGCAATGGATCTCAATCACTGACTCAACAGCCCAAGGAATAAGTGGTGAGATGAGTATAAAAACAAAATGGTCGACCACATGCAAACAGTGCCGACACTTCACAGTTCCAGGCATTTCTTATCAAATAAATTTATGTGTGAAGGTCGGAGAGGATGAAGCGCCCCTCATCGCAACTGAAGTGGTATGCTTAGGTCAAGTGAACAGATCCACGTTAAGATTCTATGGGAATCATTGGAAATACATTGCTGTAACTAAATGATTGTAGGAAGGTGCGGAAAGAAGTCGAACGCCGGTGGTTACATGTAGGGCGGATTGTATCCTCAGTACCAATAACAATAACCGATACGCATAGATTTAGCTGACAGCGGGTGCGATCAGACAAGTTTGAAAGGCAGACTGAGTGACGACATTCATCGCAATGTACATCGCAGCCTTAAGGTGACAACTAAATGCTTTTCAAAGCACATGGCTGGCTTCATCCGACTTATCGCGACTGTCTCAGCAAACCGAAGGAAGAGTGGATTAGAGTGACGCAACAAAACTTTCTACGCTGAGGCCAGCTCTATCCTATGACTAGACCAATAGCTGTTAGCCTAACGAGGAAACGAGCGGCCTGAGCAAGCATGGAAGTGTTGGGGGAGGGTGGGGATTTGGGGCGCACTCGCGCTGAACCCATCTCGGCATGTGTTCCCTTATTCGGGAAGTCAGAGTTCTACCAATTTTGCCTATACAACTGCTTTCGTAGTCACACACGAACTGACATACACAGTGTGATATGGCCCCGAGTGACTGAACTTCCCCTGTTGGAGAGCCTGGCAAACTGCAGGTTCGGTTGACTACAACGAGATGAGCAGCGTATTAACTTCCATACGTAGTGGATATTGGTTATTTCTAGCGTGGCTAAAACAGCTTTAAAGGGGAACTTCCATATGCACCTTCTCGGTTATCATCTGCACCAAGCCCTTCGGCTCGCGTAGTTGACTGTGTTTCTCGATAAATCTTCCAGGGTAGACATTCGCCGCAAGTGTTTCAGTGATTAAGGCCAACTCATCGGCCAGACAGTCGGTCGAAGGAAGTTGTCTGGCGCGACTAACTAGGGTGCTCACAATTGTCTGCTTGTACCGCACTGGCGTGTGAAGTGCAAATATTGGCCAGACCAAGTTGATTCACCATAAGTGGATCTCTTAATTAATCCATCCTCCATGCAGCTGATGAGGATATCCAGATATGGTAGGTAATTATTCTTTTCTACTTCGCAAGGAATAAGGTGAAAAATTTACTGTTTGAATCGTTAACTTTTTGGCAGTATTTCGGTTTTTGGTTGCCAGTGATTCGTATTCTGTTATCTGACAACATTTAAAAGTTCATTGTTGCTTTCGCCTCAGTTTAGTCTTTCGTTTCTTAACACAGCATACGATTCTATCATTTCCAGATAGCCTTTGGTTCTCATAATAAAGGGCAGTACGATCAATATGTAAAAGTTAGGTTACAGTGGCAACCGTTTAAGCACAACCTTCTCGAAGATTGATAAGCTCCTTGTGTGTCATTGCGAAATGGCAATTCGCGACCAACGTTTCTGAGATGAATGAAAGACGGAACATCTGCTAAACGTTACAAACTTCGCTACAACATGATAACCAGTACTGTTACACAATAACTACAAAAGGTTTCCGGCAGACAGACGGGATACGTAGTGCGGTTTATTGCACCCTAGAAAACACCTCCATGCATTCATGCCAAGCAACAGACAATCAAAACTTCATTACTTGTATGGCTTCCCTGCGAAGTATCTTGGGTGTTTCTACCACAGCATTCACCTCAGATATGAACTCGAGTTAAAGCAGGGTGAACGAACCAAAGTTTATCCGAGTGGCAGTGATTATCCCAACTTGTTATTCAAACTGGTTGGATTCCGAAATATTTCGGCATTGAGATCATGTCTGCCAAATGCTTCAGGTGATTATCGCCTCACAGTGACACCCATCTTAGCCCCTAGATAGTTTGCACGCAGTCTTGTTTCTATCCATTATACAGCTGATCTGGAAACTTACCTACTGCCAGTAAACTTAGCACACATTTCAGACAAGTATGGTAAAATGTGATACTTTTCCTACTGATCCGAACATTCCCTCACAAAACACTGAGTAATTCGGCACTCAAACGGTGTTGGACCGAACTGTAGACCACAAACAGCTATTTCTTAGTTATCAGTTCCAAGTGTCTACAAGGTGTTGAGATGGGATCTGTGTAAAACTCTCTATGTTAACCACTTTCTTTTTAATTGAATGAATGTACACCATGTAAACCTTATAGATCCAGATCTCTGTACGGTGACCATCTCTGTATCTCGCCCACTATGTTTCAATCCTTTGAGTGGTCAAAGTACGGATATTTTACCGCATTTTGGCAGCTCAAAAAGTCGAGACTACTCCATTTGAGATTGCTATTAATTTCCTACAATCTTTGATATAGATGGGCAAAATGGACATTGGAGCAACAAGGGCTAGCCATTATTTTAAAAGACCTTAGTACAAGAAAGAATCGGATGAAATTCAATGCTTTTTGTTAGATCACAAGTTGCTCTATACAACACATTGAAAAGTTTCCACCCAGGATCAGGGTGGCAGTAGTCCAATGCTGTTTCCTAAGCAGTTACCGTGCCACACTCCATGGATCAGTAGTTTCTGAAGTTGCTCCATGCAACTCTGTCTCTGCTCCTGGGTCGGTAGTTGGGCGAATTGCCAGGTGCTCAACGGACTGATTTGCAGTTGCGTTATCACAACCACTTCGCAAATCGTCCCTGTTCTGTGCATCGCGTTCTTCCTTGCAACTTGGTGTGCCAGCTGATTTTCGATGCATCCCTGAAGTTATGGCAGAAAAAATAGAGTCGCTATTGTTTTGATGAATTGTGGAAAAATGTGTCTCTTAACAAAGCCACAGTAAACGGGGATCCTCGTTCCCTATTATTAGTAGCTTAGAAAAGTTTGATAAATAAAGAAGTAACCGTTTACATTGTTTATATTTGGCATGATTGAAAGAAGCATCGTTTGCTTTGCGTCAGGCAACAAGCGCATATGCTGGGATAGATACTAAGCTGCACGTTGAAAATCCTCATGTTCACTTACCTCAATCTTTTTCTCTTTCTACTCAGCACACGGCCAAGGATAAAATGTGGGTGCGACAACGTGAACCCACTCATCGTGGTGACGCTCTGTGTGGGGTTCCCGGCATTCTTAGTGGGCTTAGACTCCCAAAGATATAGACACAACGTTGGCAATTTCATGTCTGTCCAAGATTTATCGTTGTGATGACGCTGTAGTCAACTGACACCGGTCAAATTTTGATAATTCATTAACGGTGTCTCATTGTCCGCATGTAATTAACAAGCATATTGAATAGTAACGCTTCACCTTAATAGCCGTATATTTCACTGAATGCATTTTTGTTCAGGTACTTTGTGATATGCATGTGTGATTTACCCTTTCGGACGTTTACTATCTACTCAGTAGACCATCTAACTGGCATTGCAATTCGCACGACTTTATCTGAAACAAGACTATTTATTTCCGTGTTATTGCGGATGTATATTTTCGTGGACTCAAATACCACACGGAGTGGCGCAGGTATTGGACCAGTGTTGAAATCATTGTAAAGCGAAATGATTAATTTGGATCAGGCCATAAAAGAATTGTAGGTCTTAAGCGAATTGTTCGCAAAGCTATATTGTTACAAACAGGTTGAATAAACTGATTTTCGGGTTGAAGCCACCATTAACTTACTCAAGCTATAGCAAGACGAAGCAACCGTTTGCTTGTCTGAAAAGATTATACGTGGTATAACTCTTTGTTATCATTGTAACACTGCTACTGGTGACTGACAAGTGCGTTGTCGTCTGGCCCTAAATGTCAGACAGTGCGGCGAGTAACTCAGACCGACGTCTGCGTCCGGTAATTCCCCACATTCGCTGCACATGCAACGGCGCATGCAATCACTGTGTTATAATTATAGTTCATGCCGCAAGTGCGTGTGCTCAAGTAGACGGTTGACCATTGGGATGGACCAAGCTAACCTGCACCTGCGCGCTTACCGGCGAAGCAAGTATGCATGCATCGTGTCTTATCCCGCGGATATATCTTCATTCCGTGCGCCCCCCACTGACTGATGTTCCGGTCTCTGGACCGCTTTGCGCCGCATGAACTTTCATGCGCGCTTGTGCGTATGCGAGCATTTGTGTTTGTATGTGTGTCCGTGTTACTGCCCGAGTGGTGATATTCTTCCTGGCATGGATACTCAATCTGGAAAATATCCCCATTATGGTTAGCATGAACTTAGTTTCTTTCAACAAATGAGAAGAAGGAATTTCGCTCAGCATGCTGGCTGGAAGAACAGCGCATTCAGGCTGAGTGGTGGGGGCACCGCACTGAACACAGGTGTGCTAATCTGGCAATTATCCAAACTTGAGAGATTGGGTCAATTAAGTGTGCGTGTGCAAGCGCGACTCTGTGCGTGCGGCATTTTGTAAAGCGGTCAGTGACTTAAGTGGCAAAGTGGGTCACGGATTTTGCTGTCGCAACGAGACAGGTAGGTAGATGCAAAGGTAGATGCAAAATAGGCGATGTAACGCAGCTGGACCGGAGGAAACACTGATCAGTTTGTGATAGACCACATATCGCAGTAGAAGGTATCACCCTATTCGTCTGCTGCGGATCACCTCTATAGTTGCACGCAGTTTATCGTAAAGATGACGGCAGTTCCAAGTGCAACAGATCAATCGACTAAAAACGGCTGATGTCTAAGAATTATGCAGCATAACAATACTAGATTTTCTCGGACCAAAGCGAAACGTACGTTCATTTGGCCATTGGATGACTGCACTTGAGTTTGTGATAAATGCTCTCCTTCACAGCGAAATCAGAGATTCCTAATCCAACATTCTACTTCTAATAATGATATTTGGAAGACAGAAACATAATAAACGGAAGTGAATACATTTGCGTGATGCTATGGGGCTGCGTTTTGAGATCATCTACGCGATTACTCCAGATATGCTCCGACGGGTGAAGTAACTGGACTTTTTGTTTATGTTGTGACTACATTAGTTACTTGTCATCGGATACAGTGTCATTTATTTTGGGCGATGGAATACGGCAAGTTAAAGGTGGCTACCATTCGTGTGAAATTTATTTTTGATTATCGGCAAATTCTTACTAAGCAGCACATTTTCTCATCAAAGCCACACAGCCTTATGCTTTAATACGATTTAATAGGCTAGAATCTGAAGGGTCGGATTAGTATTCAGTGGACGGTATTCAGTGGGCTGTGCCCAGATTCTGGGTGCACATTTATGGTGGGTAGTCAACGGATACAAAATGATAATAAGTAGCTGTCAGTGAGATAACTTTTCAGTGTAAGATCACAGAACTTGTTCTACACTCATGGGTCCGAATGCTTGTCTTCCACAAGAATTGTTGAACCAAGAAACGACTGAAAGTGACTGTGAACACCCGATGGGCGTGAAAGACTCAAAAATCGTGCGATGGCCACGATCCTCGTTGGGGCAACTGTCACCAGACATTATCCGCTGACCGGCATGAGAAATAGTTTAGCAAAGTTATCAAAGCTGTGATCATTATACTTTGGATATCGTAAAACACCTAGTGGTAAACTTGCTAGTTTTAACGGCGTCAGTAATTAAATGAGCGTGGAGAATTTAATGTTTTGCTACCTTCTTTGATCGCACAAATATTTGTACATGCTAAACTAGATACCTAGAAAACTTTGTCAGACTAAAAGAAGGCCAATCATTGAAAGAATGAATGTGTTAAACCGCTTATCTTTTTGCTCAAACCAACAGTCAAAGGATATTTTTCCTTTGACGGATCTCTAACGATGCCATCTGCCGGAAGATAACTCACCGAGCTGAACCAAGGGAGGTGAAGTTGGTTCAGCAAACACGAGAATTTTACCCTTAAGGGTACCACCTATTCGGTTGCAACGTCGCCCACCAGAAGGATCGACAACAGTGAAATGCCCATGCCTGCTTTACTGGAACGATGGTTGGGATGAAGATTTGTTGAAAATGCTTGCGCTCTGCACTACACGCTGGGAGCCTTCGAATGTTTTTATGCCAGTTGAGTTTCAAATTGTTGATCTCTTGGTGATAAAAGAAATGTATATATCATTGGTCAGGATGCGTATGAGCGCGTTTTTGAGGGCAATCAGAATTACATGGACACATTATTTACTATGTAACTGTTTCGTTATGAATAGACCTGTTTGGAAGAAATCAACACAGTGAACTTCCTTACCTCAAGCAGGACTATAATGACTGGAATGTTTTGCTAGGTAATAAAGGCATTGTATCTTGTCCTGTTACATAGGCATCGTCGACAGTTGACCAAATTTGGATAGCGTTATTGTAGGCAGTCGAGTCATAAGAAGGACAATCCACTTGTTAAAAACGGTTATTCACAGAGAATATAAAATCACATGCGATATACCTGGAATCAGCATGTTGTTCTGGACGTTATTATTTCATAGAAAACGCTAAATATATCTTTGTTTGTACGGTTGCGTAACACGACTAACAAAACAGTACATTTTTTGGCCTCTGGAGGCCTTGCGGAAAATTGGAGATGTGTTCATCGGCATGAAAGCATACGCCAAATGCAAATAATACCAAATAAACTGCCAGTTCATAAACCGTTTTTTCATTTGGGTACAACAATATGGCTAGTTCCTATTTTCATGAAACTAGTACTACAGGGATCCGTACTAGGACCGCGGTTATTTTTGACGTATATCAACGATATCACACACCACATATGCTCGAAATGCCTGCTTTATGTCAATGATATCAAGTTGTAGACGATATACACACTAGATGAGATTACAGTACCTCACGCTGATCTGGATAGGGTATACACGTGGCCATTCCAGAATCTGGTTCCATTCAATATGGACAAACGTAGAGTGCTGCACTTACGCAGCCAGCTGGTGTATTCCAACAAATTCGGGAAACAGGAGCTTCACACTTCTTCTGGTGAGAAAGATCAGGGCGTTTTGGTTCAGGCCGATCCTGGACGTTCGAATCACGCGGAAACGGCGTCAAGGCGGGACATCCAACAAGTGGAGCTGCTGAAGTGTGCAGTTGGACTAATCGACTCATCTATGTTTCCACAGCTTCTCGGCTCATACATACGTCCACACGTGGAATACGCAATAAGGTCTGATAGCCATTGTTGAAGAGAAATCTCATCGGCTTAGAGATACCCCAATGCCAGGCAACCAAGAGTATCAAGCGTCTGTATAATTTGCCGTATGAACTGAGGCTTTGAGTATCCAGGGTTATCAACGTACAATATCTGCGAGTACTTGGGAACTTCATTTTGATTTACCAGATTTTGAAAGATCCCAACTACACTTGCCGCAACTTGTTAAGACTTAGTCACAAAAGCAATTTGAGAGCCCATCGTCTCAAGTAGTTTGGAATGCCCTCGGAATTGCGTTTCCGTACACGTTTGCAAAACCTGGATTGTCTTACCGGAATCAGCCATCTGTGCTCCGACGCTGATAGAATTTATAGCCCAAGTTGACCGTGCATTCATTTCGCTGCACCATATCACATGGCTCATAGTTCATGGTTAAACACCAGTGCATCTTCGAGGTTTCACTGACGCTCAGCTCACAGAATACGTTCTCCCTAGTTCACTTCATGTATGTGTTCACAAAAGTCTCATTTATTTATATTCCTTATAGACTTGCAGTGGATTTGCATTTTGTACCACGAATACTGCGGTAAACCCACCGGTGTAAACCTAATGTTGCGGAGATTTTTGCTATTTTTTGGAGTTTCACCACGACTATCCAACAGGACCTATTAGGCTTTAACTTTTTTTACACGCCTTAACCATTGTTCAATCGTAATCCCAATACCCTCTTCGTGCCCCAATTTTAATCACATTCGTAAAATTTGGTCAACATATAGATGTCTTTCTTAACCGGCATCATACATTTCGAAAATTTGGAAACTTCCATGATGAAGTCAACAACAATACACACAAACCATTCGATTCTGTATGCTCGATGAGAGTAAATATTCTCCAATGTTTAAGCAGCGTTTGGAGTTTTTGGAGAGAATTCAGTGATATATTGAGTGGTCAAAAACTGGACCACGGAACTCACCTAACAACCAAGGAGCGCAGGATTCGTCGTTGTTATCTATAGCAGACTTTAGTATTGTTTTCGGTAGGGGCAGTGAGTGCCGAACCATGGCACCGTACAACCCATATTCAGCCATTATGCTACTTTTACCCCAGGTTTTCTCGGTTTTTCTCCATTTCGCACGACGATTCTGGAACCACACCTGGCGAAGGAGGGAGAGATAGAAATAAGCAGCATCTCTGACAGAGGCAAACTTATCTCCAGTCAAGATATTTGATACTTTAAAGCAATTACTAAGTACGTTACTTTATTTCAAAGCAATAAATAAGCAACGGCTTTGAAGTACGTCATTAACCCAGTCCTTTGTAGATAAGTCATGGCTTCACGGCAAACGGAGGGAACAACTAGGTGTTTGTCCATTTTAATGACCGAGAGGACACGTGGACCGAGTGCTATATGCAAACCTCATGATGCTATGTTACGTAGTGACGCATACTAGGTTGAAAGTGGGTGAAACCCGGTCGGCGTCAATAGTCTAAAGGGGATGCTAGTAGACCCCAGAAAGTGTAGTCTATAGTGTTAAATTTAGGCTACTAACAGAAATCAACATGGTTTTAGTAGCGGCTGCGCGCAGTACGACGCTTGGACGTAAAACATATTAATTTAGTAGCAGAGAGAGTCAACTTTGGTTTCAATCGAGTTTCCTTTTCTTTTTCATGTACGCTGAAAAATTAGTAATTAGTGGATAGCTTGTTGATGGGCTTCCTAATTAATACATTTCCACAAATCCCGTTTTTATAATTAATGGAAGCCCTTCCCTGGATATTTGGTGTCTGTCTGCCTGAGCCTATCCACGAGGAATATTCACAAAACTGTTTTTATGATGTAGTGATCATACTCTACGAAAAGGGACAATATATACGTGGTGTGCTGGTGTCATACTTGATAGTCTTAACATTGACAGAGGGAAAAAGATGCAAAAATTTGGTGGTAAAATATGCCAACTTTGGGATAAAAGAAGCTCTGACCCAGCGATGCAACGTCCTTAAGAGTTAGGTTAGATAAGATAAATTTTCGTTACACCTGAGCTAAATCCTCTCCACCTGCTTAATAATCGATAGTCGTAGTTGCCAACAAGACTGGAGGAGATCTGTTGTATCATAAAATGAGGCTGGTGTGGGACTGAGAAATTGGTTATAGAACGTCTCCTTGGTCGTTGCTTAAGACACGTACATCGACTGTTGTACTGTACCTGTAGGAAACTGGAAAAGAATATTAAACGCACCTGTATTCTATCCTCAGGTAAGTCTGCTTTGATGGAAAGCATCTCGCGTTGGTACACATCGGGATAATGGGCCTCGTGAAACGCATGTTCTAGCTTCTCCAGCTGGGCATTAGTAAATATGGTCCTGGGTGAAGATTGGTGCAAAGGAATGGCACAATATTGTTGGTAATGCATCAGTACGATACTGCCGTACACTTAAAGTTTAGAGGATGCGTCTAGAATTTATCGATCCTTACAGAGTTGTGAATGTCAGTCCATCATGTATTCATTCAAAAGTAAGTGTAAGATCCGGGGTTTTTTATTTTAGTACAATCCCAAGGTGTTTGCCTACAAGCGCACTGATAAGATTAAGGATGAAATCTGACAATTGTATGGAGTGAGTTTGACATTAGCATTTCCTGCAGCATTGACACGGTCATAGGGTGCTAAATGGTCTGCGGCACATTGCAACAGACGACAGCTGGTTATATTGTTGTTAACATGATTGTGAGGTACTACGAAATCAGAACATTACTTGCGGTGATGGGGCCTGGATTATCTTGTGCTGTTACTGAGTTTATATTTACTAGTGAGTCCTCTCATGATACGTTACTATCGGGATGTTCGCATTCAAACCTGGCGAGAAAATGCTGGTGCACTTTAGTTCTTACTCACATTTGGGATAAGTGGAAGTGTTATCGGATAGCTTATTACTCATTTATGCCCAAAAGCAGTTTTTAACTATAACAAACTTTTATGCATAACAATCTGTTTTACACTCCACTGAGTGTGGAGCCACTTCTGCGGCTGTTATCTGCTTCGGTTTGAACTTAAGGCATGCCACTTTTGAGTACACTAGTGAAATTGTCAGAGAACGCAAGCAGTAATATATCCAGTACTTTGTGAATGACTGCGAGTTTTAATGTCCAAACTTTGCAAAATGATCAGCGTCATTTCCTACAAAATAAATGTAGGTTTCACTTGCTACCCTCCTGAAAACCGAGCCGCGCTGGTGTTCACCACCTGTCGGAGTCAAGGTCAACTATAAGTCTGTCCTTACAGTGCAAGTGTGAACAATTTGCCTGTGCCAAGATTGGCTAGCATAGTAAAGATGCCAACGCTTGGTTTTGTAGCAAATGTTCAATACGAAGTACCATAACGCAATCAAATCTTCACAGCCTGGCAGATAGGTTATATTTGTTTTAAATGCAAATATGAAGCGGTTTTGTCTTGTTATGATTAGTTCATAATTGATATGAGTCCCAGAGGACAAGCAGAGAACATCACAGGTTGGTGTACCTGTGTGATTACCTGTGTCGTCTTCGTTTGGAGGCTTGGGGCTCCAGTTCAAGTTCAAGTGAAATGCTTCCATAGTGCCTGGAAGGTACTTGCGATTCGGAATGTGGTGAAGATCGTAAGGATCCTGACTGAATTGCTTCTTTGCAGACTTTCTTTGGACCGTTAACCGTTTGGGTAGGGGGTATTTGATCCTGAGTACTTGATTGTGCGCGTTCATGCGTTACATGGGAGGTATCTGGGAAAAGAATACGCTGGTCAAGGCAAGAGTTGGGATTCCGTGAACCATTTGACAAGGGAGTCGAAGCCACGTGTTAGTACAAGTGGCGTTGTAGGGAGTGCCTGTGAACCGCTGAAGCTGGGATACCGAGTACGTTTTAAAAATTCTGGTACCGCCGAAAACAGTAAACAAGCAAGTAGGAAGTGATCAACATGGGATGGGGCCAAAGGTCGAGCGGCTTCAACTACAACCCTTCCATAGTAAGCCCAACTCTGCTCTGAAGAAATCGCGAACTTGGCCAATTTTGTACTGTATATTTTGAGTGTCTACCAAGTGATAGATCGGAGTAGTTAGCTCAAATTCCGAAACTTTTGTGATCGTCAAGAGCTTCCCGTACTTGCATATGTAGACATATGCAAATTAGCATGCAGTGTTTTTATTTGTAGCTGATGTCAGTTAGCATACCCTGTACACCCGAGGACACCGTCACAAACTCAGGGTCCCGTGCATGAACAAAGTATCACATCAGCTTTGTATCGAACGAAGAATAGTAAACTTATGGAAAACACTACCAGGAGGATTAATAGAGGCCGATGATGTGAAGTGTTTTAAAACCCGCATCGATGATTATTTTGGAAAACTGTGCTTTTGTGAAACGGTGCAAATACAATGCCAAAAGAAGACATTGTATGCCCGGAAATAATGACACTAGTACAAATTCCTAACCGAACAAGGATAAACGATTAACGGACCAGACACAACTACTGATGATTCACAACTAAATGTTTTTGATTTTTCTGTAATTCGACAGAGTTATACAGAAACCTTTCTACTTGCTCTTGAATACAGTCTCAGTCTCAAATTTTCCAAAATGCAGTCAAGATCGAAGTAGTGTAGTACAGTACAATAACATGCACCGTATCACCGGTAGTCTCAGAGGGGACTTGGTGCCAGGTGTTTGCTTTTCAAACTCCTACCATTTACCATTTCGAACAGCGCACATAGTGTTGACGATTCCCGAAAATACTCTTGTGTGTTCCATATCACCATTGAGGTACCGTAGTTTCGGGCAGGTAGCACACCTTCTCGGACCACGGTAATCAGCTAATTTTGGGTGTGCTGTAGCCGTAACACATTTAAATATCCTAGCTATACTGGGGCATACAGTGACCAAACCAAATACCACCCTTTTTGTCATCATTTCAGTTTTACCAAAATGTTTGCTTTAACCGATCCACTTTGGGTGATTTTTTGGCTCTAGTAGCTGAATGAGCCCCGGGCACATAAGTTAGTCCGTCTTGTTCCCTTTGTCTAATGAGCGTATGTGCATGACCTAACAATCGTAAAAATTCCTACGGACACCTTTGTCGTTCTCGCTTCTTTCTTTCTTAGGGACAGAAACTTAAAATATCATAATGCCCAATGGTAGCGAAATCAATGAATGCGTTCGATCAAACGGTTACAACAAAAACTATGAACTAGGTGCACCTTGGGCATAAATTTGAAACACGAGTAGATTAACATGGGATATTCTTTTGTTCATTAAGCATAATGTTCAACATGAGCGTATGTAAAGCACTACTCATCCAATCTATCGTCCCAAACTTACAGCTTGTTCTGTGTTCCTTAGAATTTGTGCCAGGGAAAGGCTTTGTGTAATTGGTATCTTAAAATGTACAAACTATACATTACTTTTTGGGCTTTTTGGACGAGGATATTAAGTAGGGTTAGATTGCGACAGAGAAATCACTTCTCTTTCATATGTCATTCAGGGCCTTCATTCTGACAGTGGGCTGCATATAGCGTATGGTACTATCGATGGAGAGGTTTGTGAATAGTTTCGGCCTACACACCTGCTGTGGCCATTAGCTTTGTAAGTGGCCCATGTCCAAGCGCATCGGGCTGTAGGCGTTTCTTGAATGGACTACTCTGGTTGAGTCCACCAGACAAGCAAGTTATAGAGACTGTCGCAACTGAGGGAACCTATCCATTTTCTTCCCTTCCTGAGAAGGCTCCTAGCAACTTCCTCATCAGAGCTCTTGCAATCCATGGCGAAATGTACGTGAAGAAAGATCATATGCACCCGTAGTAAAAGCGGACCTAGCTCAAGCAATTCAATTTTGCTGCATTATAGGCATTTAGATATAAACGGTAAGGACAATGAAGATTCCAAAACCTAAAACTAGGCCATATTCGCAGCATTTCGTGCTGAAACTCGTTCTCGACCTCGTCAAGCTGGTGATGAAAATGATTAAGGAAGTGTACGTTTCCCAAAATTGCAACATCTCAATGAAAGGGGGCCACTTCCCGGTCGATGTCTGATCACCGTGATGCTTCATCATCAAAAGGAAATCTTAGCTAGAAGGACATTGGATGATCAGATCTTCCCAAGACATTAAGATATCTCCCTTATGTTTCAAACTTATGAAATGAGGATAAATCTGCTTTCCACATTTCGCCTAGCCAATAGGTAAGATGAGCTCGAATTTGATACTCAAAGGGAAGCTAAATGTCCTCGTATTATCCGACCAGCTGTCATCTCAGAAGGGAAACTTCCTACACTTTAAGACATTCCCCCCTCCCCTCCGGCTAAAGATCTAGTCAAAATTAAGAAAGCTGTCGATAAGACGCAAACTTAAAGGTACGGTGAAGAATCCAGTTTCAATCTCGTAGGTTTTCGGATAGTGTTCAACTCTGCGAACTCGCTTGAGGCCAATCAAGTTGTTCCAGGTCATCAGAGTCAGAGGATAGATTACGTGTGTTTTTTGTGCATGCGCGTAGTTTGAGAAACAAGTTAAATGACATCCATCTATTTAGTACACAGTAAAGCCTGAATTTGATAAGTTTCACTGAGACCTGGCCGTCTTTGGATATTTTGGATTCGTAAGTAAGTAATCATGGATATTGTTTTGTCCCGGCTGATCGTGATGAACCTATATTTGGGGTGGTGTACTTCTTTGATGGAAGGTGGAAAGTTTAAAGGAAAAAAATACCGGTGGATGCAAAGTTCTTTGGTGTCGAGTTCACCATGGATGTATATCGCTCACCTTCAGTATTGACCCTACAACCCAGTTGAAAGCATGAGCCTGAGTGTTGGATTTGGTAAGAAGTAAATTACAGGCAAGCGCTGTCTGATTATGGAAGACCTATTCCTATAATCTCTGCAGACGCTGTTTGCTTCGAAACGTCCCTGTAAGTCACCTTCCACTAGCATACTTTGGAGCACGCTTGGCTAATTCTTAACTACAACCGCACATCCGCATTCTATTTCATACATCAATACCTGTTGACTAATCTTCATCCATGTGACGAAAACGGTCATTGTGTTTCCTTCGCTGTAAGTGCGACTTCTTGCTGTTACCGATAAGAAAGTGTACAGTCAGAATATCTGGCGTACAGATCTCTGACTTCTAAGACCGGTTGCTCACCTGTTATATTGGGGCATTCCATAACAATTGAAACTCTAGAACGCATGGGATCATTTGTGCACAAGGTTGACATCGCTTATAGATTAGATCGTACAAATCTCAAGGAAACTCTTATATAATGGTTCACCTGGATTGATTTAGTACTGAAATCGTTGATTAATAGAAAACAAACTGTGGGACAGGTACAAAGTGTTTGTCTACGTCGGTCTGTTTTGATTAAAAAGCAGAAAAGATGTTACGTAGTACAAAAAGGTGTGATGCGATAACTTCATGGTCTTCATATGATTGAAGGCTCTACAACCACCCCAAAAATATTTTCTCTGTAACGCAAAGTATAAAAACCGGCTACGGGGTTCATAGTTATTTCTCCTACCTAGATAAAACGGTAGTTCACAACGATGATGATAAAGCTGTATTACGTGCTTCACATGATCCCACAGTCTGCTAGAGGAACATCGTTCGCTGAACATGACATCCAGCCTCTCTCCCACTCTTCTCGTGTCCATAGAAATTAGTATAGATGGTCAGGTAGCTTCATCCTGAATTGGACGCAACTCATTTTCTCTGAGACGATGGTCGAATACATTGCTGCGTTACTCAGTGAGTCATTTTGACTCCCACTTGCAAGTAGCCTTCTACCTTTTGAATATAAAGTAAACATTGAAAAACCCATACACAAAGACGGGGATCGGTAAGAGCTTGCTAACTACCACACAATACACTAACTTCTGGCTTCTCTAAGGTAATGTAGAGACTTTTAAGTGCCTTTTAGACGTTATATGGAAGAACTATGTGTTGCTTTAATGGTTCAGCATGGGTTCGGAAAGTTTTCCTCTCACTTTTCCAAACTACTGCTTGCCAGAGAAAAACGAGTAAACCGTTATATATCAGTAAACGCTTGAAAGTTTTCTCAGTCACATTCAGAAAGGCATTGGATAAAGCTGCTCTGAACGGCCCCCGTTTGAATTCTCGGGAATTGGCGTCTTTGGGGTTGTCCTTTCTTAGATTGCTGGTTTGCTAAAGGGACATACAGAGCAACTTAAGTTGAATGAGTTATTCATTTTCCCGTCCTGATGATCAGTAGGATGTCGCAAGGTTTGGTTGTAGACCCTGAAGTATTCACTGTCCTCGTTACTTATCGTCCGGCCGTGCTTCAAGCTAGTTGCTTAATCTCCCCGATATTTTGAGTGTGAATGAAAGTCAAACATCTCAAAGATGGTACCAGGTTTCAAGCACAGCACAACTGACTTACAACACAATTGATTCGTCGCCTGGAGGTCACCTTGTAGACCATAACAAGTACTTCGCTCTTTCATTTGGCGCTGCTGAACTAATTGGTATCTTTAACATCGGTGCTTCCCTGCTCACAGATTTCACATGAACGAAGGATCTTGGTGTCTTTGTGCTCATAGATCAAAGAACAACATAGGATACTTTAAAATGTTCACTGCTGCAGACAGGACATTCAGAGATTAAAGATCATATCCTCGGATGACTCTTGAGACCCCCAAGCTCTGGTTCGCTTCATATACTCGCAGCATATTGGAATATGATTTGCCAGCGAGTAACCTATGCCCCAACTTCGAGTGC